AAAAAAAAAAAAAAAAAAAAGAATAACTACTCCATAGGCGGGGCAGCCCCAAGGGCTGCTGGTTGTCCATTTTTATGGTTAACTTGATGATATGCTAAACAAGGAACGGATTATTCATGCCTCCCCTTTTTAGACCATATAGGGTAACTTCGTCATGGTGCTGGTGGGAATGTAGCAGTGGGGATGACCAGAGGTCACTCTTGTCACCATCTTGGTTTTGGTGGGTTTTGGCCGGCTTCTTTACTGTAAACTGTTTTATCAGCAAGGTCTTTATGACCTGTGTCTTATGCTGACCTTTTATCTCAACCTGTGACTTGGAATGCCTTAACCATCTGGGAATGCAGTCCAGCAGGTCTCAGCCTCATTTTACCAAACCCCCTTTGCAATGGAGTTGCTCTGGTTTACACACCTCTGACACTTTGAAAGGCAGAGGCGGCAGGATCGCTTGAGACCAGGAGTTTGAGACCACCTGGGCGACACACAGAGACCAGTCTCTACAAAAAATTTTAAAAATCAGCCTGGCTTGGTGGCACATACCTATGGTCCCAGCTACATGGGAGGCTGAGGCGGGAGGATTATATGAACCCAGGAGTTTGAGACCAGTCTGGCCAACATAGTGAGAACCTGTCTTTACAAAAAATGAACAAAATTAGCCAGGCGTGGTGGCACTTGCCTGCAGTCCTAGCTACTTGGGAGGCTGAGGTGGGAGGATTGCTTGAGCCTGGGAGGTCGAGGCTGCAGTGAGCCGTGACAGCTCTTACTGCACTCCAGCCTGGGAGATGTATGGAGACCCTGTCTTAAAAAATTAAAATTTAAATTAAGAAAAAAAAAAAAGGCCGGGCGTGGTGGCTCACACCTGTAATCCCAGCACTTTGGGAGGCCGAGGTGGGCGGATCACGAGGTCAAGAGATCCAGACCATCCTGGCCAACATGGTGAAACCCCGTCCCTAATAAAAATACAAAAATTGGCCGGGCGCGGTGGCTCACGCCTGTAATCCCAGCACTTTGGGAGGCCGAGGCGGGTGGATCACGAAGTCAAAAGATCGAGACCATCCTGGTCAACATGGTGAAACCCAGTCTCTACTAAAAATACAAAAAATCAGCTGGGCCTGGTGGTGCGTGCCTGTAATCCCAGCTACTCAGGAGGCTGAGGCAGGAGAAT